ATATATATATATATATATAATGTTTTTTTGATCCATTCTTTTCAAAATTTTATTATTTTTATGTGTGTACCGTCAAATCAGATCTGACTGGTACAGAAGGAGATTGTTCCTCCTTCTCCAGCAAAGCATTTGGTGGATTTGAACTGCATACTTCTGAGATTGCAGTGCAGCTTCTTGCCACTAGGCCACCAGTGCTCACCTTTATTCTTTTTTTTCCTTTTTTTTTAGGACATTTAGGTTGTTTCCACCTTTTGGCTATTGTAAATAATACTGTAATGAAACATGTATACAAGTACTTTCTCGTATTCCTCCTTTCAATTCTTTGGAATTTATACCTTGGAGTACAGCTGGTACGTCATATGATAACTCAGTTTTTAACCTTTTGAAGAACTACCAAAATGTTTTCCACAGCAACTGCACCATTTTACAGTTTCACCAGCAACTGATGACCGTTCCAATTTTACACATGCTTGTCAATTACTAACACTTGTTTTGGTTATTCAAAAAGGGATGCTTGTTTTAAAGCTGTAGGATATTATGTTACAAATACATATAATGCAGTATCTCTGGTATGCCTTTTACTTTTGTTGTTGTTGTTGTTAATCTCATTTACTCCACTCAAACTGGAAAAAGTCCTAAAATATATTAAAAACTTATTCAGTCATATATAGTATCAAACCAGAAGTCAAATCCACTGTTGGTGGTGACACAGCATCAGTTTCCAGGGCTGTAAATCTTTATAGGAGGAGACTGTCTAGCTTTCTCCCATTTAGAGGCCAGTGGTTTTGAACTGTGATCTTTTGGTTTGCAGCCCCATTATGTTATGACCTATGCCATCAGTGCTCCTTATATAATAGTATCAAAATATCTTTGTTGTTGTGTACCATAGAGTCAGAACCAACCCATAGCTGACCCTTGAGTGGGTTTTGAGAGGCAGTTAATCACACGGGAGGAGATTGATTGTCCATCCTTCTTTTATGTGTGTGTGTACCATCAAATCAGATCTGACTGGTACAGGAGGAGATTGCCCCTCCTTCTTCAGCAGAGCATCTGGTGGATTTGAACTTCGTACCTCTGGGATTTCCACTAGGCCACCAGAGCTCCTTTACAAATCCTTCTTAAGTTACTGTTCGGTGCCATCTAGTTGAGTATGACTCAGAGCAACCTGATGAACAAAAGGTCTGAACCCTGTTTTATTCTGTGCCATCCTTACACTTTCCGACACATAAGAGCCCATTGTGACAGTCACCTTGTCAGTCCTGGTTGAGGGCTTTCCTCTCCTTCACTGACCCTCCACCCTTCCCAGCATCATGTCCCTCTCCAAGGAATAGTCCCTTCTAGCAACATGCCCAAAGCATGTGAGGTTAAGTCTCATCATTTTTGCCTCCAAAGAACACTCTGGTTGCACCCTCTCCAAGGCCTATCTGTTACCTTGGCCATCCATGGGATATTTTAATGCTCTTCTCCAACACAATAGCTCAAAGGCATCAATTCTTCTTTTTTTTTTAATTGTATTATTTTTACGTGTACCGTCAAATCAGATCTGACTGGTACAGGAGGAGATTGTCCCTCCTTCTCCAGCAGAGCATCTGGTGGATTTGAACCGCATACCTCTGGGATTGTAGTGCAGCGTCTTGCCACTAGGCCACCAGACCTCCCTGGCATCAATTCTTCTGTCATCTTTATTCTTTGTACAACTCTCAGATGCAAAACAAGTGATCAGAAAGACTATGAACTGAATTACATGCACTTTAGACCTCAGACTGACATCATTACTCCTCAATAGGAGAAGTCCCTAACTGCAGATTTTCCTAGTGCAATGTGTCTCCTTATTTCCTGACTGCTGGTACAAAGAGTATTAATTGTGGATCCAAGGAAGATTAAGCTGTTGACAGTTTGAATCTCTTCTCCATCCAGCATGATGTTGCCTATCAATCCTTCTTAAGTAGGGACAAAAAAAAAGTCAAAACAAAACTAAACCTGTTGTCAAGCTGATCATTTCCTGTGTCACTTGTTAAGATTTTTTTTTTTTTTATCTTGTTCAGATCCCTGTTTTCTAGGTATTAACCAACAGCAAATAAGTAGGCTTCACTGGCCCAGATTAGGTGTCTCTGTATGGTACAAATGGGGAAGTGTTCAACTACCACATTGATGGTTCAAATTCACATGGAGGTAGTTTGATGATTTCCTTTTGAAAAGTCATAGCTTTGAAGCCCCTTCAGACCAGTTCTACTCATATACATGAAGTTGACATGACTGATGGCAGCTAACAACCACCACTCTGCCCAGATTAGAGCCTCTATGCCTCTCATTTATCTGTACCAGTCACCACTGATGTTTTGAAAGCAGCTATCATGCATCTCTCTATCCTACACATTTAATCCAGGAGTTCTTGGGTCAGGTAGATTATTAATGTTGGACAGTTAACTGAAAGGTTGGAGGTTCAAGTCCACCCAGCGGCATCTCTTCCTTTGAAATCAGCCCTGTAAACACAGCTCTACTCTGACACAGAGGAGGTTACCATGAGTTGGTTCGACTCCATGGCAACTGAACATATCTAGATTACTTTCGGTAACCTGGGATTAGAGGTGCTGGAGAAGAGCACTGACTATTCCACGGACTGCCAAAAGAACAAATAGATCTATCTTGGAGAAAGTGCAACCAGGATACTCCATGAAGGCAAAGACCTCGTGAAGCTTCAATGTACATACTTTGGGCATGTCGTTTGGGAGGGGCCAGGCTTCAGAAAAGGACATCAATCTTGGACAGGTGGATGGTCAGGGCAGGAGAGTAAGACTCTTAGCAAGATAGATTAACCCAGTGACTATAACAATGGGCTCAAGTATATCAGAGATGATGAGGAGGATATAGGACAAGGTTAAGATCTGCTATTTATAGGGTGACTATGAGTTGTAGTCAACTCAGCAACACATACCAGCACCACCACCACTATGGGAAGCCAATACTAAATATTTGTAATAAACTAAATGCTATTTCAGGTACCAGCTGGAGTTCACCCTGAGGCACCAAGGCAATCCTTAAGGGTTTACTGGATTCTTGCATTGTATTTGTTGTACCCTTCCTCCTGAGTCAAGGGGAAGGTTTTCAGTAGAAAGAGCTTGGCTTCATTTGCATTGAATTCTCTTTGTGAATTACTTCCTGATAATTTTCAATATACAGGGAAGCTCAGGTCAGCCCTTCAGTCGATGAAACTGCTCGTCCCCTGTCTTTATACTCTCTGTTTTATCTCATTCCTGGCTGTCTGTCTCATTATTAATAATTATAAAAATACTTTACCCTCGGTCTGCAACCACCACCACTACCAATCTAGTATTGAATTTAATAGTAAGTTCATCTTGGAATCTGACACTGTATATTTACTCATTAATAAAAACAGTACTAAAGCCTATGCAAGTCTGTTTAATGCACTTTTCTAATAGCTATTTTATCTCCAAATGCTTTATCTACTTTAAATAACTTTAAAAGGAAAGAGATCCTGATGTAGGGATATTGGATTTTATTTTGCTTCCCATTGTTCTAGTGTTTGGCTTGCTGTAGGCCTACTAAATAATGAGTAATAACAAGGTCATTACCATTTACTTTGAGCAATGATTATGGAAAGTTAAGAATGCTGGAAAGCTTTTTCTGACGTTAAGCCAAGTTGTCTATTATTTCATTTTGCTTGCATTTCTTTATGGCTTACTAAATACTTTTCTATACACATCACTTCAAAACACAAGATTTACCCTTGTATTTAATTAGCTCTTTGACTTAATTATTATATACACAAATGAGTTTCTTGATCCTGTCTCATAAAACAGTTCCTACAGCTTCTTAGAACTTGTTGCTTATTAACTTTGCCATTTTATTTATAAGAGTAAGCACAGCTATGTGGCATTGTCTAAGTACTTGGGAGAAAGAAGTCATGGGAACGAATTTTAAAACCACCTTCAAAAGTCGTGATATATTTGGGGGAGAGTTCTTGTCCACATACCCCAATTTTCTTTCTTTACAGTGGTACATTTAGTTACTACAGCTCTTCTTTGAGGCAGGAAGATTGAGGAGCAAACGTCTAGCAAGTTTTCACAGGCTGTAAATCGCATGGGAAGGTGCCCATCTTTCTCCTGTGCAGCAGCTGGTGTATTCGAACTTCTTTCCTTTCATTTGGCAGCACAAGTCCTTAAACTAGGCCAGTCCCCAGAATACCGCCCCCCCAAACACACAACGTATGGAGTAAGTTTTTGCTACTGAGTTTTCCTTCTGAATTCATACTAAAGGCTTGAGAAATTACATTATCTTTAAAAGTCTTTTAAATCCTAGGTATGCCAAATAACCTTTGAATATTAAAATTGCTAATAAAAAAATAGAAGCCTGTTATATGTTCTCCCACTCCCATGCTTTTCTTTCATGGAACAAGTCAATACAGAGATGTTAAAAAAGAATACAATTTAGCTTCTCATTGGGCAGGGCCAGGTCGTTCTGTGCACAGAGGAAAGCTCATTCACTGTTAACTTGACATGACTCCGTAGAAATTACGTTCAAGGTGGATCTGTGCAGACACCTGAGTTTCCACTGAACACCGTGATACAAGTTTCACTTTTTCCCACGCCGACTTGCGCTTTATGAGCCGGATGGAACGTGAACCGGGGTCCCCAGCAGTCCCCCACCCTCCCGAGAGGGTCCCGAGGGGGTCCCTAGAGGGTCCTTAGAGGGTCCCCTGTCCCGCACGCCCCCCGCGCACGCACAGAGAACGCCAGGCGCCGCCACGTCAGCAGACGTCCGTGACGCCAGCGCACATGCGCAGTGAGGACGGGCGGCGCGCGCGCCGAGGCCCGCCCCTACATCCGGGGCTTCCAGGGCCGCCGCGGCGCCGCGCGGAGGTCACGTGGCCCCTTCCTTTCCGTCTCTGGCCGGCTGGGCGCGGGCGATTACTGGCGAGGCGCGTGGTCTCCGCTCCGGCCCGGGCCACTACGGAGTTCGCTGCCGCCGGGTGAGCCGAGTCTGCCGCCAAGATGCCGGCCTACTTCCAGAGACCGGAAAATGCTCTCAAACGCGCCAACGGTGAGTAGGGGATCGGGGTGCTCCGGGCCGAGACGACCCGAGGCCTGGGAGGTCGAGGAGCCGGGGCCTGCGGCCGGAGGGCAGGCGGATGGGGCCCGCCCGTCCCTTTCCCGCCGGCGGCTGGGCTCGCCTTCCTGCGTGGTCCCGGCCGACCCCGGGGCTGGGCGGCGCGGAGCCGGGAACCGCCGCTGCTCGCGGGGTCTGGTCGCCGCCGCTTCCGAGTGCGGGGCGGAAGCCGCGGCCCCGGAGATCGGCGCCTGCCGGGCCCTTCCTGCCGGCCGCGGTGGCCTCCGCTCGGCTGCCCAGGCTCCGGGGCTTCCGTGTGCTCAGGCCCCCGCGACCCCGGCCGCCATCTGGGAGCGCCGGGGAGGAGGAAACATGGCTCCCTCCCGGGGACAATGCACGCGAGGAGCTCGGCTCCACCTCCCGCCGCGGCCGGGAGCCTGGCAGGCCCAGCCGGGCCTCCCGGGGACGCGTCCGGCCCGATCCCACTCGGGCCGGGCCGGGGCCCGGGGCAGGGTCCGCCTCCTGCTCGCCTCCGGGCATCTCGCCGCCGGGCATCTCGCCGCCGGGGCTGCGGCCCCGCTGCGACTGGAGCCCTTTGCGCATCGCCGGAAGTTAGGAGAGAGTTGACACTATTGGAAGATTGAGTCCTCCCCGCTAATAACGAAACTGAGGCCTAGGCAGAGCGAATGGCTTGCCCAAGGTCACTCCTGCAGGCAGTTGTGGAGCCAGGGTCTCTGGACATCCAGACCAGTCCCTTTTCTGTCCCAGAGCCCTGCACTCCGGCCATATGTCTCCAAATGTGTCCTTTAAGCCCTGGCTCTTCCTGGAAAACGTGATGTGGCTCGAAATTGTCCTCTGAAGTTACAAAACGACATTTAGCATGCAAATGTGTTGATGCATGTCTCTCTGATCTGGTTTCTTGTGTAAAGTTTATTGCTTGATTGTCTGTGTGTTAGGTGTGTTTGCTGTCCATAGATTGTGCTCATTTCTTCTTCACCCACCCAAACAAGTTTTAGATCGTATGACTGTCCAGCCACAGTTTCATATGAAAATTTTATCCTGTAACTCTGACCACTAGTGACAACCTGTCAAAGACAGATTTGTGTCAGTCACATACGTGTGTTTTAAATAAGCAGATCACACAGACTGTGATAATTATTTTTGAAAACAAATTTGCAACTTAAAATCTAATTACCTAAGTGCTTATAACAAGTTGGAAGTGTAAAGATGTTTATTTATAGGAGAAAAAGTAGATTTAAAGTCAAACTTTGACACTACAGAGTAAACCACACTACAGTTTTGATTTGGGGGGAGGGTGTTGAAACTTGGAAGGCTATGGTTTCATGCAAGATTCTTTGGCTGAGCGATCACTCTCTGCGCACCCTTGTCTGGGCTGCCCTGTCCTCCGTGTGCCTTCACAGCGGGCATTCTGCCCAGGCTGGTCGATTGCTGTAATCTCAGTGGCCTGACTGTTCAACTCCTGCTGCCTGTTGTCTGTCTCCATCGTTACTCCTTTCTTAATCCAACTTTTTTGAATTAACGGAGTTGTGTGATTTCTGTCACGTGTTTTACTTGGTGCTTTTGTTGTAGTGGACTTGAAGGGCAAATTGGAGAGTTTATCCAAAGAACAAGTTGAGAAAAGCATACTGTGGAGAGCAGGGGACTTTTGTAGTTTTTAAAAGTCTATACTTTTTGCTGTATGACTTGAAGATGTGGGGTTGAAATTTTCTGTGGAAGAGATACCTTTTTTTATTTTTCAAGCTGTAAATTCTATCCCACTCCAGATGCTCTACTGGAAAAGGAGGGGCAATCTCCTGTACCAGTTGGATCTGATTCGATGGTATGCACACACACAAAAAATAATAAAATTAAAAAAAAAATTCTATCGCACTGATTTTTGTGGCTAGGCATTTCCTTCACAGAAGTGTGTGGCGTATTGTGGATAGAGAGGTCATATGGCATTGCCTACCTGCAGAACTTTAGATAGGATGATGTTCATTCAGTGGAAATGATCTTGTAATCTTATTTATAATATTCATAACTTCAAATATGTTTAGGGCACTTCTTTTGCATTATCCTAATAAGCCATGAATAAATTTTAAATAGTCTGTCAAGTCAGCATAAATTTTAATGCTCAAACAACTGTTTTAAACAACAGGAATCATTAAGGAATATGGGAATTTGCCTCTGCAGACACTGCAGATACCTATCCTGCAATCATTTGAAGATGTTTTCTTTCCCAGATTATATCCTTAGTATTGCCAAAGTAGCTGCTTCTGACCCTATAAAAGCCATTTAATTTGTACTCTACAACCAGTGACTTAAAAAAAAAGTTGTTATAAACCCACAAATTGAGTAACATTATAGACTGTTTATTTGATCTCTTGCACAAGTAAACTAATAAATATAAATGTGCAGCTGACTCATACTTTTACCCAGTAGATCTTTTCGTGCAAGGTAAAATGTGACTGCTACAGTTTTGCTAGTAAATTATAATGTAATTTTTATCTTGTTTCAAGAGTATCCCATCTGGAAATGAATATTTCTTTTTTTTTTTTTTTACCTTCTCAGGGTTGTTAGTGTATGATACTTTTTTCAGGCCTCAAAAACTGTCCTTATTAGATAATTCTGAGGAACAAAATGTTGTATGTGAACTGTATTGATTAGTTGGATGTTAGAGTGTTCATGAGCTAAATTATTAAATTTATTTACCATTTTCATATGTGTTACTAATTTTTTTTTTTAACCACCCATTCTAGTTTATTGTTAAATAGTCTTGGCTAGTATCTCAAGTTTTCTTTTTTTGTGTGTTTTTAAAGGTAGTGGGGTTTTTAAAAAACTTCTGAGTCCATTATTTCAGTTTGAAAGTATGGGATTTTGACTTGTACATTTTAAAGAATGACATTGAGAAACCACACTTCTGTCTTCTCCTAAAAATGAAAGATTGAAAAAGTGAAAATTTTCAGACAGTTTTGTATTTTGTCATGACTTCATGCTAAAATATTCCCTGTTGTGAGTTTGTTGACAAGTGTGGTAAAGGCGCAGATCATGCGTGGACAGTTGGTAGCTGTATTTGATGAGTGTTCTTAGTGCTGCTGTTCGGATTCTTTTAATGTAAAAGATAAAGCGTTTACTTAAAAAAAATTTCTGATAAAGTTTGCTTTTTGTTAAATAGTTGTGGAGACTATCTAAATACAGGATTTTAGAAAATAACCTTATGGGTCATCCAGGAAGAAAATACGGAGGCCTAAAATAGGAAAGGTTTATTCCAACAGAAGATCTAGGTATATTACATTTCTGTTTCATTAAATACGATCTTTTTTCTTTATAGTAAAGTTTCAGTTTAAGTACATGATCTCTCCACTAATGGCAGAATTGAGACTGCCAGTTTGAGGCTAACATCTTGGTGTTACTGGGATTCTGCACACTGTCCATAGTCTTGTCAAGTACCATAATGGTTACCCATTATGTTCAGTGTTTGGATGAGGTTCCAGATTGATTTCTGCTGGAAAGCAGGAGTGGCATCCACTTCCTAAACTAGATACCTCTGGAAACGCTACCAACTCTCTAAACTCTACAGACTCTCTACACTCTATAAATGTACAGAAATGATGATAGTTATAAAACAGAGTTATGTACAGAAATTATGTTAGTCACAGAACAGAGTTTAGGTCTTTTGTGCATAACTTAGTCATATTCAACTTGATGATCTCAAGTACTGCTAACTCAGGAGGACCTGAAGTAGTTGCTGCAGAGTGTCAAGGACTGCAGCCTCCAATATGGATTGAGGCTCAATGTCAAGAAGACAGAGATTCTCACCCCTAGGCCAATTGGCAGCATCAGGATGGATGGTGAAGAAATTGAGATTGTTCACAGCTTTAGTTTGCTTGGCTCTACAGTCAACTCTTTGCACCAGTAGCCAGGAAATTAAAAGGCATATTGCCATGG